AAAGGTAGGTACCGGAGGGGGGGGGTGCATATATATATATATATATATATATATATTTACGTATTTGTTTATATACCTGGACTAGACTCTAGATACACGCACGCAGAGACACCCCCACGCACGCACACGCAAGCATGTAAAGATGCAGGGTGAGGCGGAGCTTCTCCAAAAGAGTCGTGTTCTTCGTCGTAGAAAGCTTGATTCCGCTGGAGATGTCCGAAGGCGACGTACCAGTGGGACCAAGGGACTCAAATGGCGACGTGTGCTCAGAAAGTTGGCTGGAACACTGCTGCCTTGCACGCAGCCCTTGGCGCAATGTTTCAGGCATCGTACCGTGACTTTTTGCCATGTCTTCAATCAAGGCACTCTTGGCACTGAACACTTCCCCCGCATCTTCTCACAAGAAACGCTGAGCTTGCAAACTCGCAACCTGGGATCTGCTCAGGAACTGAAGCAAACCTTGTGCCGCGAAGAGTACTTCCAATCAGCATTATTCGTATTCCCTGTTGTGTCATCTTTTTGTAGGTTTGGAGATTCCTAAATCCCATACCGGAGGGGTTTCTTACCCGCTGTTGAAACTCTTACAGAGCCCCACGAACAAAGCTGTTAAGCCCACACCCGAAACCTAATATTAGTCAATCCCTAAACACTACTATTTAAGCCCTGGTTTTTGCAGCGCAGGAGCCGCCGTGGCCACAGTGGCCTTGCCGTTTTTCTCCTCGCCAAGGCCGACCTTCGTTTCGGCGATGACCTCAGAGATCTCCGAGTACCTGAACGAGGGCTCTTGTAACGTAGGGCATGGAAAGCTCTGAGTGTTTTGTTGATAAAACCCTGACTTTTAATGGCCATCATGTTTGAATCCCTATGAAAATCCATATTTACGGCAAATGTGAAATGTGCTTTATCAACCAGCGGTCCATTAAACAGGAGTTTCTCGATTTGGGATAGGGTTTCAAGCGTTTTAAAGGCAGAAGCAAGTCGCACCCTAAAGGTGGTCTACGTTACACAGGGTTTTCTTGGTCTGTGATGTAGGTTTTCAGGGTTTGAAACCAGGAGGAAAGGCACGCGCACACGCACAAGAGCGTGCGCGCACACACACACACACACACACACACACACGCTCACACCCTAAAGGTGCAGTCCCACCACCGTAACTGTAGGTGCTTGAGATTCGGGGAGTAGCTAGTATTCCCATCCCATCCTGACACCCCGGTGCCCAGGCACCCGGTGCGAGCTTCCCGTCCCCACTGGGGCTGAAGACCATCGACTCCCCCGTGGCGCGCGAGGCTCCGGGTCTCTGGAAGGGCTCAGGGCCCTTTCAGGCATCGGGCAAGGGGGGGTTGAGGGTTCAAGATGTGGGGTTAGAAGTGTAAGATGATATGTCGGAGTGTGAGGGGTTTGTGGCTGAGGGTTGAGGGCATGAGGTTGCGGGTTGATGAGGCTTGGGGTCGGGTCCTTGACTCCTTGACATTCAATTCTTGGGCGTAAGGACGGAAAGTCTACAGGGCCTTGCAAAGCCAGGTTTAATGCCATGAGCCATGAACTTGAAGCTGCACAGTCTTATCTTTGTTGGAGTTTGTTCATGGGGGCGAGGAATAACAAGGGTCTCCGGTCTGGGAAAGATGTGTTGGCTGTCTTTATGACGGAAATCGTAGTTGAGCATATAATCCGCTTCGAACCTAGGCGACGGTGGTCGTCGAATTGTATTCGGGGAGCGTAACGTTCAGGGGTTGTTGCGGCTTATGAGCTTGCCAAGCTTTGTCCAGGGCCTGCATCTGAGGTTGTTCAGTCTGAAACTTTGGAGGCCTCGAGTCTGGGCGGGGCACAAGGACCCAGAAAGCAGGGGGTGATGCCCCGTGCAAGGTTAAATGGAAATGGGTCGAGCCGACGGTGCCAGAGGACTAGCTGCAGAACACAGGGAGGCTTTGTGCTTGACTTGCGGTTCGAGTTGGTGGCACCTTGGATAACTTGTGTTAGTTGCCTGTGCGGGATGGAATCCATGCGTGATGCAAGCCCAGCAAGGCCAATTCGATCCTAAAGCACCATATGCATATCAGCTTGTCCGCAGCGGCGCGGCTCGAAACCCTCGTATGAAGCCCTGAAACTGAACAATGCCCTATGAAACGGCCCTGACACCCCTAAAAGCCACCTCAAGAACTCCAAGCCCAAGATCGAAACCTCCCAAAAGCAGCCGCCAAAAAGCGGCCAAAGCCTCCCAAAAGCCCAAAAATGCTCCCAGGAGCTCGTCGACCAGGCCAAGGATGAGGGCTTCCGGCAACTCGGCGAAGACAAAGTTAGGGAAGCTTTCAAGGATTGGTTTAGGGCTTTGTGGTTTGGGTTTTGGGGTTAAGGTTTTGCATGGCGAAGATGATTTAAGTTTTGTTTTGGGTTGGTGGGAGTTGGAATGGAGACTGCAGGAGCTTCGCTCGTGTAGGTTTCAGGCATTTGTGTGCCCACGCTCTTCAACCAAGGTGCTTGCGGTAAGCTCTCACGAGGGATCGAAGTAGAATATTCTCAGATATTCGGGTTTCAATGCCGCAAGTGTGTCGGGGCCTCATTGCGGGGACGTTAGCAAGGAATCGTATTGTTACTGATCGAGGCTCCGTTGCAAGCGGCTTGTATCTCGAGGACTTTGTTCGGAGTCTCTCAGCTGGACCTGACGCATCTTGTTGCACACGAAGCCATAATAGGCCGTTGACTCTGTGTCAAGAGAACGCATTTGACTCAGTACCAAGAACACATGGTGTTGATCGTGATGATAGTAATGATGATGGTCATGCTGGTCATCACCTCATCATCATAGCCATTGCAGATGAAGATTTCGTACCTTTGAGCGGACTTCAGTAAGTTTATTGCTCGAGAAGCCTTCTACGAGGCTGCGGCCCACCTACAGCCACATGAAAATCGGCTACGTCGTATCTGACAAGGCCACGGTTCTAGGGAGCTTCCAGGGTTTGTGCTCGAGCCTCGTGTGGGACAGCAGTTTGGGGTTGCATGCTGCATGCACAGGCGTATACAGGCGTTGTGCAAGCTGAGGGGTTGTGGACCGCGGGCAAGCCTTAAGTGCTTAAGTCTGCACCCAAAGCCATTGCATCCCTCCAGTTCCGAAGCGTTAAACTGCCCACGAAGCTCGCCTGCTGGTCGCAGATGAAGAAGACACGCGTGTGCTTGGTGGAATACTTCCTCTTCAATGCCAAGTACGGTGCATGGTACAAGGCATGGACGACTGGAGAGTTCAAAAAGTTTGGAGCTACAGGGTCTTTCTGAGTTTGCTTCAGGGTTTAGGGCTTCAGGTGGTAGGGTTTGGGGGTCCGGGTTGAGGGTCGGATATTAAGGGGTTTGGGCGCTGAGCGCCGCAGGCCCAAGCACTCGAAGATTCAAGTGCCTTTATGCCACGGTGTGCCACTGTGAGGTGTTCACTCCTAGATGGCAATGGTACCGATTGACTCAAGCATTCCGTTAACCATGAAGTCCAACGCCACAAGCGAGTAAATTCTTTCGGACACTCGATATTTTTGAGTCCGACAGCTGCGGATCGAGACTGTGTCCACATGCATCTTCTGTGCATCGGAGCCCTTGTTTCACGTTCAGTTTATGGTTTAGGGTCCAGGATACACGGCACTAGTCGAAACCAAGAGCGGTTCTAGAACAGTATCACAAACCCAGAACAACCTTCAGTGCCTAATCCGTGGCACCTCCAAAGAAGCATTCAACAAAGATGGCCGGGCGGTAGCACTTGAAGGTTTTGGGGTGCTTTGAAAGTCCAAGCCAGCACCCTTTGTGAAGAAGTCCAAGCCAACACCTTGTATAGAGAAGACAGCCTTTGATCATTTCGATCATGTACAAGGTTCCCGACGAAGCTTAAGATGCATTGCCCGTTTAAGCGGTATTGGATCCTCTGGATATCGCGTGCGCCCCGGTGCTTCCCAAAGCCCAGCGTCTAGAAGCAGTTCTCTTGTCACTAAGTCAGAGCAACCGCTTTGCCGAAGCCTCAACCTCTCGCCATGCCAGCGCTCCAAGAAGAAGCACTTTCATGATGAGTACGAGACCTCCAAGCTTGGAGATGTGGTCCTCATCGCACCCTATAGGCCACTGTTGAGAAGCCTGTTGAGGTGTTCTTATGCATGTACAAGTCTTGGGATGCGAATCTTGTTGTGTTGAGAGCTGGGGTCCTTATGACGGGACTAGTTGCACACGGCAGCGTGTGGCTGTGAAGGGGCGGGCTTCATGTAGAGCAACTCGACTTTCTCTGTCGTTATTTCTTTTGTGCGATCTGTCACAGGGTGCTGTTGGTGCTACCCGTGACCATGTTTTCGGGATGGTCTATGTCTTGTGTTTTTCTTGCCGGAGCAGTGATAACCTTTGGGCGGTGCAGGCTTTGCATTCTGTCCTTCGCTCCCCGCTGCTTGCAGAACCTTAGCACGTTTGGGAGCAAGACTGTGTGGCTGAGTCCCTATTGTTCTTGTCATTTGCTTCATACAGAACATAGGAAGTCGCCCCGTGGATAGTGACGGAGTGCTGCCGGTATCCCTTCGTAAGCATGCGATTGGTGTCTGATGTAGTCTGACGAGTTAGAGCAACACCGGGCTTCATTTCGGCAGGTGATTACACAAATTGCCGTGTTCTTCACTTCATGGTTATGACCAGGATGGCTTCATTTTCTACTACGGCTAGCACTAGCCCGCACCCCTTTCGCCAGGAAGAGGTCGAAGATGAAGTGGTACCGCCTGGTGGAAGTTCTGAGGCAGAATCAGGCAGGAGGGCGGGAGAAGCTAAGTCAAGATAATTAGGGCTCCCTTGGCGATTGTAATTGAACAGTTTCTCGATCTTGGGTGGCTGTATGATTCTGGAGCATCCCCTCGCATGAATGCCACCGGAACCGAACACATAGTTTAGACTAGCACCAAGAAAGACGACGAAGACAACGACAACAACAACAACAACTGACAACAACAACAACAACAACAACAACAGCAACAGCAACAGCAACAACAACAACAACACCAACAACCACAACCACAACCACAGCCAAAACCACAACCACAGCACAATCACAACCAACCAGCAACAACCAAAAACTGACAACAACATCAACACCACCACCAACAACACGAAACCACAGCACCGACACCAACGCCACCACCACCACCAACAACAACAGCAGCAACAACAACAGCAACAACAACAACAGCAGCAACAACCAACAACCAACAACAGCAGCAACAGCAACAGCAACAGCAACAGCAACAGCAACAGCAACAGCCACAGCCACAGCCACAGCCACAGGCACAGCCACAGCCACAGCCACAGCCACAGCCACAGCCACAGCCACAGCCACAGCCACAGCCACAGCCACAGCCACAGCACCAGCACCAGCACCCGCACCCGCACCCGCACCCGCACCGGCACCGGCACCGGCACCGGGCACCAGCAAAAGCAACCGTATATTTTTGTTGTATAATTTTATAGTTCTTAGAACCACGAAAGGTCCTTGTGACAAACTGATTTGCAAGGAAGATGCGGGCTTTCTTGTGCTGCTCATGATGCTGGCTTTCTTGTGCGGGATTTGGGCTTTTATCACTATAAGCCCGGAGTGTCAGTGGCGGTGACATTTTTCATTTGTAAGATGTTGCAAAAAACAATGGTTCCCCCCTCCCCTACATCATATCAGTGCACACCGTTATGACGTTGCAAAACATGGACCGTGAAATGAATGAAGTTTAGAACGTGCTGAGATTTTACGACGCCGCTCGTAAGTAGAAATTCCGGCTCAAGTTATCCGGCTGTGGAAAAGATGGTGCGACGGAAAGCCCTACCGTTATGGCTTTGTTTCTTGTCGGTGAACGGGAGGTTGAATGTCAACTCTGACTTCGCGTCCGTTCAGGAGAGACGCTAATCCTTATACCCTCTCCCCTAAACCGTACCCTAAACCCCTAAACCCTCTAAACCCTAAACCCTAAACCCTAAACCCTAAACCCTTATCCACAACACTACCGTCATCAAAGGGCTCTTCTTGGGTGACTACAACTGACTGAAAGATGGAGTGTTGGGGAGCCCCAAGTGCTCGCTTCCTTCAGGGGCTTCTAACAGACATGGGTCATGCAGTTGGAAAAGGCCCGTAAAAGCCAGAAAAGGGCACTCCTAAACCCTAAACCCCATAAATATAAAACGTAAACTCTAAACCCCCACCCTAACCCTGAGACCCTGAACGCTAAGCTCTAAACCCTGGACCCTCTGCGCGCCCCTTCAGGAGCAGGCTTCCAAGATCCCTAAACCCTAAACCTTAAACCCACCCTCAACCTCAAAACCTAAGCCGTAAACCCACGCAAGCCCTGATTCCTATTCGCGTCCTTTCAGGAGCAGGCTTCCAAGATCCGCGGCGACATCATCGGCTGGCGGCGTGCTTTGCACTCGGAGCCAGAGTTGATGTACCAGGCTGTTATTTTGAGTTTTTTTTTTGGCTTGAGGTTTAAGGTTTAGGGTGAGTTGATGTACCAGGCTGGTTTTTTGGGGTTTAGGGCTTTGGGTTTAGAGTGTAATTTAATTGCCATAACAGGGATCTATGGTGATACCAGGCTGGCTTTTTGGGGTTTGGGGTTTGTCTAGGGCTTAAGGTTTAGGGTTTAGGGTTTAGGGTGTAGGGCTTGGGGTTTAGGGTTTAAGCTACCATAGCAGGGGTCTATGGTAGATGATGTGGTTTCCTGAGTTTCCTTATCATGGTAGCCTAAACCAGGTTCCTTAACAAGAACTCGGCAGGAGCACAAGACATCCAAGTACATTCAGGGAGTGCTGGACCACTTGGGCATCTCCTTCACGGCAGGCTGGGCTAACAACACCCGCCAAGACCGAATCCCAGGAGTTGGGGGCACTGGGGTGGTGGCAGACATAGGCTCTGGCACGCCGGTCGTCGCGCTGCGCGCCGACATGGATGCCTTGCCCATAGAAGAGCAGATACCCTCAACTGCCCTACCTTACCGTTCCAAGCATGCTGGCCGAATGCACGCCTGCGGCCACGACGGCCACACTTCCATGCTGCTCGGGGCAGCGAAGCTTCTGAAGGAAGTTGCTGACGAGCTGCCTGGGACTGTTCGCCTCATCTTCCAGCCTGCTGAGGAGGGTGGGGCGGGCGCGAAGCGCATGCGGGAGGAAGGCGTGCTGAAGGGCGTGTCGAGGGTCTTCGGCCTGCATGTGTGGCCAGCCCTTCCCAGTGGCAGTATCGGTGGCCGCGCTGGGGTCACCATGGCTGCTGGGGACTTTTTCGAGCTTGACATCGTGGGTAAGGGGGGGCACGGGGCTATGCCGCACCTTGGTGTCGACCCAGTGGTTGCTGCGGCGGCCATCGTCCAAAGCCTCCAGCCACTTGTGTCGCGTGAAACAGACCCACGTGATTCGGCCGTGCTCAGCATCACGATGCTACATGCAGGTGGGAGTTTCCGAAATAAGGGCTACCTTATTTTGGGGCCCTTATAACAAGGATCCTACTATTTTGGGGGTATTATATTAGGGTCCCCTCTTTTCTGAAACCCCCAGGTGATGCCTACAACGTGATCCCCGCCAGGGTGACCCTCGGAGGCACCATGCGCTCCCTTTCCGAGGCCAGCCTGGCTCTCTTGCGCAGCCGGATGCTTGAGGTGGGGGTTTCCGAAAATAGGGTTTAGGGTTTAGGGTTTAGGGTTTAGGGTCTAGGGATATAGTACCCTAAATAATAGGATCCCTATTATAAGGACCTCAAAATAAGGTACCCCTAATTTTCTGAAACTCCAAGGTGGTGGAGGGCGTCGCCCACGCGCACCGGTGCAGCGTAGCGAGGCTCAAGTTTCAGCCGGACCCCTTTCCCGCTACGGTGAATGACCCTGGTTTGTGGCGATGGTTGGGGTCTCCCGCAGTGGGCATAGAGAAGAGTGTGCCGATGAATTGGGACATGGAGCCCACAATGGGAAGCGAGGACTTCTCCTTCTTTGCACAGGATGTCCCCGCAGCATTCGTTTTTCTGGGACAGGGCTCGGGCAAGCTGGAGGACGGCGACAGCACGCGACCGGAGAAGTATCCAACAAACACCACCGTCCACAGCCCGCGCTACGTTCTGGACGAGGGAGTTTTGGATCTGGGCACAGCGCTTCATGCACACTTTGCCTTGCGCTCCTTGTCGTCCTTGAGGGGCAGCGGTTCCACGGAGCTTTAGACTCTAGACCATGCGATGACTTTTGTTGCCATAGGAGCGCATGAGGCAGAAAAGCAGCGCCTGAGTCGTTCAAGAAAGGAGGTAGTGAACAGGGTGCCAAGATTTTGAAGGCCCAGCACCAGGGTTGGGCTCCTAAAAAACCTCGGCTGAAGGGCTTGAATGACTAGAATAGGGTTTAGGGTTTAGGGTTTAGGGTTTAGGACTAGAATGCCCCAAGTTTCTCAGCAGATCGTCGACGTTCTGAGCATCCTCTGCGCCGTTGTTGCCAGTTGCAGCCTCAAGATTGCTGACCCATTTTATGCTCTTATCAAACAGATATTTGGGTTTAGGGTTTAGGGTTTAGGGGCCTATAGGGTTTAGATATAACGCTGACCCATGCTGGCCCACAAGAGCGTAGTTTCGGATGGAAGGTTTCCTGTTTTGTGTATCCTTGAAAGAACCCCAAGGCCCTGAGGCAAAGGTTGTGGCTGTCCCTGTTGGAGTGGGGGTCTAGTGCGGATAACCTTAGACTTGCGTTTATGCGGTTGCGGGATGAGGGTACAGGGTTTAGTGTCTACTGGATGAGGGTGCAGGGTTTTTGTGAGAGAGCCTGTGCAAAAATCTGTATGAAACTTTCATATCCTTAGGCCCTAAGCCCTAATCCTTCATATCGAGCCCCACAGACTCCTGCTTCCTTTTCAGGGTTTAAGGTTCTGGGCTTGCGGTTGAAGGTTTTACTTGTATGGCTTTAGGGTTCAATAACCCTAAACCCTAAACCCTGAACCCTGAACCCTAAACCCTAAACCCTAAACCCTAATCAAGGTTGAGGGATGTACGTCACATGTTGGAGCGTTTGAACTCGCAGCCAGGCGCAACTGAAAGTATCCACCAGTGTCTCGAAGGACTGATAGCTTGTTCCTGGACCAGTGCCTGTAGAACTTCTGACTAGTGAATAGACAGCGCCAGATTGTATTTCGTCAGCAGCAGGTCGCCCGAAATCGTTTATAAGATTGTTGGCTGTTTCGAAGACGGCTTGCTGCTGAAGTTAATCTTGTCACCTGTTGTGGCAGTGTTGAAACCCCAAACCCTAGACCCTAAACCCTAAACCTTAAACCCTAAATTCTAAAGCCTAAATCCTAAACTCGCTAAATCCCAAACCCTAAACCCAAAGACCTAAACCCTAAACCCTAAAGCCGCGGTTGCGTTCCGTGTGCCGGGCATGTGGACTATTGGGCCCCATGTGCTGCTGCAGGACTCTTTAGGGTTTAGGGTTTTGGGCTTAGGGGTTGAGGGTTTGGGGTGTTGGGCTTAGGGTTTATATGGGATGCAGGTTTGTGGCTTTGAGGTTGAGGGTGCCAGGGTTAGGGTTTCAGGAAGCCCTAAACCCTAAGCCGTAAGCTGGTTAAAGGAGCCACTCGACCCCCCCCCCCCAAAAGGAGCCCTTGAACCCGAAACCCGAAACCCCTTAAAGGACCTTTGAAGGAAACCCTAGACCCCTTAAAGGAGACCCAAGAACCCCTTAAAGGAGACCCTAGACCCCTTAAAGGAGACCCTAGACCGAATCCTGGGGCCCCGCTTTGTTTGTGCCAGGAGACGAGAGGGCCTCACTGAAGCCTGCTGCCGCCCTGTGGACAAGGCGTCCGCAGCTTTTCCATTGCTGCTGGTTGCCGGAGGGTTGTTCTTTTAGATATTATGCGACTATATATATATATATATACATACACATACCCTAAACCCTAAACCCTAAACCCTAAACCCTAAACCCTAAACCCTAAACCCTAAAACCTAAGCCTTGAATTTGTTAGGGCTCTTTGGCGGTTCGTTTGTAAGATGGAGAGGCAGAGAGGGTCTGAGGTCGGAAGTTGACTTCAACAAGCTGCGCTAGTTTCCGCAGGTGTACGGTCCTGTGGGTTCTCTAAGCCAGCCAGAGTTTAGGGTTTAGGGTTTAGGGTTTAGGGAATTCAGCAGTCTTCCAGGGCTGCATAGTGGCAGTTTTTGTGCTTGCCAGCTGCATCTCCGTGACTCTGCAGCCATGACTTTGCCAAAAATGCCAGTAGAAGCATCATTGGATGTTGCGGCTGTGGAGCTGTATAGCTGCAGTCTTGCAAGCAGGCCGTTGTCGGCACTGTGGTTGACACCACCAACATCATGTTTGCGATTATACACAGGAGGTTGAGTTGCTTCATGAGCTGTCTGAGTAGTCTTAGCAGTATTATTAGCCGAGACAACCGCCATAGCACTGTCGACGCACAAACCGTGCCAACGGTATTTGCTTCAAGACCCTGCGCACCACATCCTACTGCCAAGCCCAAAATCTTAGGACTTATGTCCACTTTATTTTTGGCTTCTTCCAACATTTGTGGCCTTCAATAGGCTCCTACAGTTCGTTTGTTGGGGATGCTTATGATAAAGATCCGGTTCGCGTCGGTCCTTAACCGCGAGGCTCTACAGTCGGAGGATAGAGACGAGAGGGGTTTAGGCTCCTTTCCCCGGCTCTCGGCTTTTCGGGGTAGGGAGGTTTCCGATGTTACAGCGTTCTGGCTTCTACTACAATCCCTCTTTTTTTGAACCCTAAGCCCCAAACCCTAGTCCCCAAACCTCAACTCTAAACTTTAAACCCTAAACTCTAAGGTTTACTCCCGTAGCCCCTAAACCCTAAACCCTCAGCCCATATCATAGCCCTAAACCGCAAAAGCCACATCCCTCCACTTCCCTCCCCTCTCCGCACGACGTTTTACAGAGACTCCAATATCCCTTAATTAAGGAAGATACCTTAAATCAGAGTAGGATCCCTAATTTGATTTTAAGGTAGATTCATTAATTAACTAAACCCTAAACCCTAAACCCTAAACCCCAAACCCTAAACCCTAAACCCTAAACCCTAAACCCTAAACCCTTAATTAAGGGATGTTGGAGTCTCTGGGTTCCAGGATGGCCAGCGCATCCCTTGGATCCACAGCCCGGCCTCGGCCCAAGGGCCGACCCTGAGAGGTTCTTAAAGGGGTTGAGGGTTTGAGGGTTTGAGGGTTTAGGGTTTAGGGTCTAGAGAGGGCTTAGGGTTTAGGGGTTTAGGGGTTTAGGGCTTGAGGGTTTAGGGTTTAGGGTTCAGAGAGGGTTTATTTAGGGGTTAAAGGCGTAAGGTGAAGGGTAGAGGGCTTGCGGTTGTAAAGCTTGACAGTGTAAGATTCGATGTTCAAGTTGAGGGTTCAGGTTTTGAAGTTCAAGGTTTAGGCTAGCAAGGAGGTTGGATGAAGGCACCTTCCAGCTTTCAGTTCCATATAGGAGGAGTAGTCAGCAACGGTGGATCCATGGTCATGACGGCTCCCTTGACTCCAGGGGGAACTGTAGCAGCCTCAAGGGTAGACAAAAGCACAAGCATTGTGGCTACGAGTGACATGCATGTGAGAACTTTCATGGCATCCTTGCATCCCTTTGAGGTGTCCTGAATGGAAATAGATGGCGCCCACGGCTGTCAGCAAGGGTAGCAACGGCCAATTACGTCCAACAGTGAGTACGAAGAGTGTCAAGAGTGAGATCGGGAATAGCACTGGCAACATCAACAGCGAGCGTCTTAATAGTAGCAACCACGACTGTTGTTGCCGGCTTGCCCATCGTCATAGCAATGCCCGTTGATAGAAAGATAGCCACAGTCGTAGTGACTCTTCTTGCCTTCGGCAAGCGATTCTCGGATACAAGAAAGGCAGTGCATATCAAAGTTGACAGCATAATCAAGCACATGGTCCATGATCCGAGCAATGGAAGAGAGTAGCGACACTGGTGGCACTTGCGAGTACTTTACTGTTCATCTCGGCCACATGTGGTGCACCAAGCAACATAACGAGCAGTATTTCCAACCGTAGCACACAATTTGCAAGCACAGTGCTAGGAGCGGTATCATCGAGTGCAATGGTCTAACGTCTCATGGCAGAAGGATAATACAAGTAGAACTGTAGAACCATAGCAATAGTGGCACAGACATGTGCCAGTAACAGTTATAGTGATTGCTGCAGGAGCTGGCGATGATGACGACGAGCATGACGACGAAGCAACTTACTACTGATAGTCTTGCTGTTGCTCTGACTTTTCGTAGTCATTACTGCTAGTGGCGGTCCTATTCCTGCGACGACGACAGCTACTGTGACTCCTGCTACTACTGCTGTTGCCACTGCTGCTGTACGGCGACGACGACGACGACGGTGGCTGGTAGCAGAGACGTCGCACATAATCCCAAAGGTTCGTTCTTTCTGCACCTGGGAAACTGGAGGAAGTCCTCAGTTCATGTCAAGATGCCAGAAGGAAGCATACTATCAGGGCCTGAATCATTAGAATAAGGTTTTGGGGACCATTATACCATAATTATAATAAGGAAGAAAGATGCAACAGAGAAGCCTGACTAAGTGTCATCGCCGTTCCTTCGGGCTCGTCGTCATGCTTGAAGTTTTCGTGATTCAAGTCCGAATGCATTGCAGCAGTCGTGAGTCTGAGTAGCTTCTGGCCGATTTGGGGAAGTATTGTCCCTGTAAAGTCCCGATGGTTAGGATTCTCGTTCTAACGTGACGCCGGTTGCTTGAAATCGACAACAACTTCAATGATAGTCTATGCAGCATTAAGAGTAGGACGAGGACTAGAACAGCAACGGCAATCGAAACAGCACTAGTAGAACCAACCACGCTACTGGGTCTTTGTTGGATACAATGTTACACTTCTGTTATCATAAGACCCAATAAGGATTAAACATACTCGTTTTAATATAGCCCCATCAGAGAACCCGACTAGGATAAACGATCATCGTGATCACCCGTTTTTTCAAATGTTGTCAAGGTATCCCTTGAACCTTGGGCTAGAAGACCAAACATACTCCCGGAACCTTTAAACGAAACCTAAGCCCGAATCTATTGATCTCTAAATCCCAAGCCCAAATCCTAAAAGACACTGCAGCCGAGACCATCAGCATATGGAAGAGAAACTGCCTACCCCAAAGTTTAGGGTTTCGAGCTCTTAATTCCTCAACCCTAACAATG